CCCTCCGAGTGTTTCGACTGACGCTGAGAGTGAGCGCAAACTATTTTGGAGAGTCAAATTTGCAACTGTATGCCAGAATATATTCCTAGCTCACATGTAATATTTCCTTGGGTATTTCACCTTGTGTTCGGTTGTTTGCCGATTACTGTGTGGTGTACATAAAAATTAGTAACAAAGACGATGCAACCTAGTTACAAATAGATTGAAAATGCATTGATAACTGGTGCTTTACGTGGCAAATGAATTTAAACTAAAAAAGTGTGCACATTTATGTTGCATTAAAAAGAATTAAATATAAACCTAGTATTTTATAAATAACAATAAAGTAAACAATGGATCTACGTATAAATACTTAGGTGTTGCGCTATCAAATGACTGTTCGTGGAATTTTCATGTGGATGACGTGATAGCAAAGGCTGGCAGGGCATTCAACTTTATTCAACGAAGCCTAAAATGTTCACTTCCTAAGTTAAAGGAAACCGCGTATTGAACATGTGTTAGGGCGATTTTGCAATATGCGTATGCCGTCTGGGATCCTGAAGAAAAGACATTAACTGACAAACTTGAGAAAATACAAAATAAAGCTGCTAGGTTCGTTCTGGGACGGTACGGTCGAAGAGACCGCTGTACTCAAATGAAGACTGAACTGAATTTGCAACCTCTCAGCCTTCCGTGAAAAATTGCGTTTAAAGTTTCTGTTTTTAATGTTTAAACAATAAAACTGGAATTAACAGTGAAAGTTATTTAAAAATAACCCTTTCATATTTCAAAACGAAACGATTATGCTTTCAAAATTAGAGAGTACCACGCCGGGACGAACGTGTATGCCAACGCTTTTTTTGTTTGTTTTTGTTTTTGTTAAAACGATACAACAGTGGAATGGGCTGTCGGAGCTGCAAGTGTGTAGTGAAAATGAAATTTTTTTCCGTCGCTGAAAACTCCCTGATTTAACGCCCTCGGGAACTGCGGGGTAACCTCTGAATAAAAAATTCTGAATGTATATTTTCTTCTTAAGTCCCCATAGCCGCAAGCCACTTAGCCTCCCATCAGTTTAGTTTTGCGCAACTGAGTTACGGCTTCTGTTCAACAAAGAAATATGTACAATTCATAACAATCACAGAAACTCTAAGCAAGCCAGAAAACGATACAAAAGCAGACACTATTTTGAAACTAGGCATGCAAGGAAATCTTTAAAAAAATCCATAAAACAAGTAGAACGCATCAACGTTTCCTAAGGTAAAAGTACACAGCACGCAGAAAAGACTGACAATCGAAAAGAAGCCGACAGGTTAAACGCTCAACTTTCATTCTCACATTCGAGTAAGGTTTGGTTTAGAATCTTTAGCAAGCCGCTCCCCATTGCGGTGCACGTAGCCCAATGTAAATGTTCGAATCACTTGATCGCAACAAAATAATTGGAACGTTGGCTGATTACAGGCTCAGAAAACCGATGATAGCAGGCATTGTTTCGCAACCAAGCTTTCCTCAATAAAGGGTGTTTTCTAGGCTTTATAAAATGTTAAAAAAAAAACAAAAGGCGTGAAAGCTACACTAATGTGGTGTGTGAAAATAAGGTATGCGGCCAGATAGACATGATATAGGGGGCTAATCGACACGATATTTCGGTTATTTAACAAAAATTTGTTAGTTACCATCTTAATTAGCAAAAATAAACTATAGTTCCAATTAGGAAACTTTCTGAGCTCATCGAAAACTAGAACATCATTAAATTTCAGAAGACTTCCTGTGTGTAAGAAGCGCAGTGGTGCGCTAAAGTCACCACTCGTGCAACAAGCTAAAGGCTGATAAGCTTAGACCCGGCCGCGCTGTTTTTTGTTTCTTACCATTCAAGTTTTCGTACCACCAGCCTTACGAGGGTTGCACGAGTGATAACCTTAGCGCATTACCGCGCTTCCCATGCGAATATGCGAAGACAAGAAGACAATATCCTGTATACTGGAATTTTATCATCTCTCTTAACGGTCACATTCTTTTGTCCACACGACGAGACCCTAGCTCCGGCCCTTGCCGCATGCACTGAGATCAATGTAGTTGAGATATCATAATGTCTACTTGCGCCAGTTTTATCATGAACTGAGAATGTAGCGCAGTAACTCCGATTCACTCACGTGTCTACCATAGCGGCTACACAAAACGAAGTCAGGACCATTTTGTGGGAATCTAAGATTGTAACAAAAGGGTGTGTTGAAGCATGAGTTTCGCATTGTTTTAACCTACATTCCATTTATTCTATTCGAAGTATCGATAAGACCACCATACTGGCTACATTCCTAAGACTAGATTTTCTTTAAATCGCTTTAGAATTTACCTCAGGTACTTTGTGGTGCAAGTACTTAATTCAACTTTGATTAAGTGCCACCTTCGAAGTGAGAGACACCGCGTTTTGGGCTATACAAACGTGTTTTCCTTTCCACGCATGATCAGTTTTGTATAAACTTCGAAAGTTAGCCATCGGTTAGAATCAAAGTTTTATAACCATATCATAAAATTTACTACGACTAAATCCGTATTATTTGTCTTTTTATTCATAGCAAACAAAACAGAATACCGCACAATGTTCTTGGCTTTTCGACAATGTAAAGACTGACGACTTCTGCCTCGGTTTTCTGTAAAGAAAACAGTCTTCGTAGCTGCGTAGAAAGCAGTCGCATTTTTCACGTAAAGAATGTCCCAAATGAATGTTTCGACCGAAGGCAAAATCTCGACTTATTTAGCAAAACAAAGAGTATGATGTCGTTTTCTGAATATTCAATATGAAACACATCTATAGAATTCAGCAACGAAAATCTGAACAATAGTATTACTTTCAAAGACTTTGAAGCAATATATGTAGGCTAAAGTATAATTCATTTTTTAAATGAAAAATGCCTCGAACATTCCTTATTCTGAAAAAGTAACACAATCGTTTAAACAATAAAAACAAAAACATGGCGCTCATACATTACGCGTTGAGTTTAGCATCAGACACTTTTTTTTTTACAGAACATTTGGGTATCCAACCGTACCGAACCGAAAAACGTAACGCCGTAAAAAAAAAAAAAAAAAAAAAAAAAAAAAAAAAAAAACATTTAATGAACAGTAGGTTAAGGCGCAAACGAGCTACGAACGGTTGATTGACTAAAACCCCGAGAGTGAGATGAGAAAGGACAGCTAAACACATAGTCTCAAACATACCTGAATTTCATTTCACCAACGGTTGTAAAATAAAATTCTGTTGTGTTTGAGACTTTCTGTTTTTCTGTCCCTTCTCGTCCCAGTCTCGTGGTTTTAGTCAATACTGTTCAACCTATAATTGTCTCCAAAACCATATTCAAATCGAAACGTAATAATACTTTTTTTTCCGAACGAAACTGAATTCTTTTGCGCTTTTTTGGCTTTATAAGGAAAAGCAGTTTAATTTATATATGTTCTTCAACTTGTCGTGTTTTAAGATAACGAGAATGCAGTCAAATGACCAAAAGAAGCCAAAATACTTTGAAATATTTCACACGCGTTTTATCGTAAAAAAACCTACTCTGCTCCTCACAAGCATTTTTGCGCCCACTTATATTTATAAGCATTGCAATGTTAATTGCCATCTGCTTTTGGAATCGATGTGAATGCTTCGTCTAAAATCATAGGTTAGCATTGACAGATGCTTCGCCTAGAATCAAAGGCTAAAATTGAAAGATGTTTCGTCTATAATTAGAGACTAACATAGTTAAAAGCCGTGATTCGAGGGGCGAAACCAACAACCCCTAAACACAGCCAGTGGGATTCTTAGGACCCTGGTTAGCATTAAACAAGTTTTTTCTGTACTCTTTTATTTCTTTTTTTATTGTATAAGCAGGTAAGTTTAGAAAAGGCGTATTGTTTTTGTTCTACGCAAAAATTTTTGAAGCATTCAGCTTTTCCATGTTATTTTTTAGCGTTTTGATAAAATAGTATTTTTCTACTTTTATAGTTTTACTAAGCTAATAAACATCAGTTCATACCAGTATAAATACCTATTTTTAACTCCATAGCTGGACTGGACGTGAAGAATTTTTCCTTGACCCAAAACGAAAACCGGAAAGAAAAACATTTGGGTATAATACCATGTCGAGCATTTTCTTCTTTTTTCGGGATTTATTAATTTAAAATACTTAGCTAAAATATAAACGAGTGCTTCCCTTTTTCACTGGAGCTTATTATTCATTATTTCGCACGAAACTACAGGGTACTTCCGAGCGCTATATTGATGTGTTAACGAAAATCGTACTTCTCACTAATAAATTCAGTGCAATTAAATATAACACAAAGGTGCCTTTAAGTCATGCATTTTTCACTAAATTTTTGTAAGTGTAGGTTTCAGAAAAATAAAACGCCTGAAAGTACTGTTTCGTTCTGTGCACAAAAAAAAAGAAAACCGTCAAAAAAAAAAGTTTTTTTTTTTTTTTTGTTTTATTGTTGCGGTACCATCTGTGATTAACAGCACGCTATTGCTTACAGATGGGTAACCCACACGCTCGGATCTTCTGGATCTGGCTTCGGGTGTTGGTTTTTAAAAACAAAAAAAAATCATTTATATATATATATATATATATATATATATATATATATATATATATATATATATATATATATATATATATATATATATGGCGTCAACCGGATCGTTTTACTGTTTCCTTCCTGTGCATAGAAAAATAAATGTTCTTTTCCTGCAGCCTGCTCTTATGAAACTTTCTTCGATAATAAATGTTTTTCCTAAAAACGCACGTGAAGAAAAAAAGCTTAGTTGCCCCCAAGTTATGGTTTTTTTATACCATTTTTTTTCCGCCCGAATTGCGCTCGGAAATACAGTGAAGTTAAAACAACCTCCTTTAAATATACTTATTAAAAGGGAAGAAAAACCTTCTAGCGGGACTCCTACAACGTGTCGTTTTGAGATGCACTTATCCTACACCCACTTGAGGGAGCGCAGTTGCACTGCGATGGGACGATTGGGCTGCACTTACCGACACGGCGAAGAGGAGGAGTGCCAAAATCCCACTCTCGGTGACCGTTGACGTGCGCATTGTGCCCGTACGTTCACAGAGCCCTCGGGACGTCACGACGCAATGGTGATCCCGCTGCACTTCGGATCACAAAGCAAATCCAAACTTCCTGCAGGCTGCATTGTTTCTGCCAACAATACGCTTTCGGGCCCGACCACAATCGACGCGCTCCCACGAACCTTTGAAACAGCTCGCGATAAGCTATCTATCCTTTCTGTCGTCTGCTTCAAATCACAACCGAGTCGCGCCTGCAGCAGCCGCGTATCTTCGTATCCATGAATAGATGTGCCAATTGGTTATTTTTCGGCATTCTGAGGTTCGTTTGAGGCCACAATGCAGTCACGTTCGTTACAGTCGCCAATCTTCGTACCAGCCAATAACCTGCTCGCGTTAAAAGCGCTTGCGCTGATTGGTGCAAGTATGTTCAGCCTGACGTCTGCTTCGGCCAACGAGTTCGCCGTTCTCCAAGCGGCTGCTTATCTTCGTATCTGCGTTGAGCTGTCTCACCAAAGCTTGCGCTGATTGGTGCAGTTCGGCTACTCCATAGATTCCAGTAACGTTGGTTCTCAGTTCATACCCCGTTCGCGCTCGCAGAAGTCGCTATCTTTCAATCTTTCTATCCGAGCGTAATTGAACTACTACTGAACTACATGGGTCTAGTGGTCGTCTGCTATTCGCCTGTATCAGTTCAAGATCCAACCGCTCTGCGAGCGCTGTCACATCTCTATATTTGCGAATAATCCACTTCGTCACCGGGAGTGCTATAGTTTTGTTTCGGCGGCGGGTTTTAGAGATATCAATTATTCACTTCCTCGGCTTCTGAACGCTGTCGTGATTCGTTCGGGGAAGCAGAAAACAACGGATGGGGAGAGGGTGTCGCTGCACCGGAAGTTCGATTAGGCGGCGCTTCCGGCGCCCTCGGTCAGACCGCCAGAGCGATACTTCCGCCTCTGCTTCCGCTTTGTTCGTACATCTTATTTCGACCTCTGAATATGGATTGAGGGGAAGCTGCAAGACGGGATGAGTCAAAGATTGGTCCCCGTAGTTCCTTGAAGTTGCAACGTCCGACGTAATTCCTACCGGCGAATAATTTGGCATTTCTTCCCTCTATTGGTCTGAAAGGAAAGATGAGATATTGATGTCATTTAATAGGTATTTATTGGGTTATTGAATTCCAGAAATGCATATCAATCTCCGATTGTAAAAGTTCAGTGCCCAGACACCAATATTAGGAATGGTTAAATCGCTTATGTGCGCATGGTTTATAAATCGATGCAGGTTTTGAGGAGAATGTCTTAAAACGTGGCGAGATTGGTTTATGAACCCTCTACGCGTATGAAACTTTACATTGTCTAGGGATGCAATATCCGTCTGTCGTATCAGAGCCTTACCTTAAAAGGTACACTCCAGAAAAAGCCCGTGCGTCCACTTTCCCGCACAACACTCGGAGAGCCAATCACCGCAACTTACGGAGGCAGCTCAGCGAATGACGATGCCGAAACATATGTTTAGACCGAAAAACGCAGTCTGATTTGTGACATTAAGCAATGCAAGCGTGACGTCTTGCATTGCGTAATGTCACAACAGACAAAAAAGAAAAAAATGAACAGGATGACACAGAATCTTGATGGACATTTTTTGTCGTCTTGTTCGCTACTTTATTTTCCGTGTGTCGGGGTTTTGATTACGATAATTTCTAACCAGCTCACCTGCATTTGTGTTTGCTTCTTGCAATTATGTACAAGTTTTATTTGATAACTGTCAGCAATGATCGTTATGCAATCAAAATATTCACAGGAGCTTTGCTAGAACTCGCTCGTGGTGTCGGAGGCATTGAGCCCAAAGTATTCTTCTTATTTCCTATCATACCTGCGGTACATTCTGACTCATTATAACCGCATGATTACAAGCCCTAAGCGTCCTCAGTTTGTATTAATTTATGACGCAGAGTATGTAAAGAGGACTCTACTTTTTTTGTTTAGTCATTGTCCACTACCTGTTGCATAATAACGTGTCCAAGCTTAGGACGACTCCATTGGCGATAAATCTTAATCTGAATAGTGCACAAAATCGTTCAATCTGGGCCGCTTGTTTATAATGTACCCAAATGCACGGGTTTTTATTTTTGTTTATACAGCATATAAACTCTTTCGCATAAAACACTATTTCCCTATCGTAATAGACTTTGTGAACACCTTTGCATGTGAAATGGCGCAGTCGCTGATAGGCTAACGATTCTAATAATACTAAATACAATACTACGACGTGCTTGCCTAGTTTACTTTGACTTGTCCATGAAATTCTGATTTGGTTTCTCTGCTCCAGCCAGGTAAAACTCATGTGCACGTTAAAAAGTTTAAATGCACTAGGGAACTAGCGACATTGTAAAGAAATAATTAATACGTGTATAATAACCAACAGGACAGAGGCATGTCAACATGATTCAAAGCTTAAGACGCCAGAAATTAAAAAAACAAAACAAATGCCGCTTATAGTAGTATGAAACAAACTAGGAAAGTGTTGTTAACTCAACAACACTGTTCTTAAGACAAAATAAAGAAAAAGCTCCAATACGTTATTGGGAGCACAAACTGAGACGGCGTTCATGATGATCAAAAAACATGTTGCGCTGGTTGGTGCAGTTCGGCTGCTCCGTAGTATTTGACGTATTTGACGTAGGTTTTTGAAAATAAAAACTGAGCCCCGTTACGAGAGCTTCTTTCTTTAAACGAAGAACAAGAGAACCTGGATTTAACGAAGGCAGGAGTTCAAAATCGTGGAGCGCTTTTGCCGTTTAATGGCGGACGCCTGCTGGCGCAGAGTGGGGGCTCGTGGGCACGCGTACGCTGCCGCGTGGTGAGACAGGAGGGAAGGCAGAACGGCTGAGCGAAAGCTCTGGGATAATTGCTCACGATCGACGCCAAATGATCGACGCTTTCGTCCCCTCACCCGCGCGGCTTCTATTGCAAACACGGACCATAAACCTTTCGGTACTCCGTCGAACAGTTGGAAGCACTCTCAAGCCTAGGCAGACCACGAAGAACGAGAGAGAGCCTGCATTACAGAGAGTTTGTCCAACTGCTTCATCGGGGCCAGTGGGTTTATAAGCCACATTTGCGACACGAGCTGCGAGGGGGTGAGGAACACCTGGGTCGTGTCTCTGCCAGCGTGTGTCCGCCTTTCCACCTGTGGTGTTCCCCTTGCCATGCGACGAGGCAGCGAGCATGCGCACCTGCGACTAATCTCCGCCGGAGGCGTCCGCTATTAAACTGCAAATGCTCCCTGTGGTCTGAGATGGACGCTCTACGAAGAACCTCGGGCCGGTGGTGCCATCTCTGGGGTTTAACGGGAAAAAATCGAAATCGAACGATAATTCGAATTTAATATCACATAGTACACTGCGCCACATCTATACTGTCCATTGTTACTTTGTTACCGACTTTGTTGACAATTTTAGTAAACATATATAGACGACGCGATATTTGGCATGTAAATTTTCTTGGTAAAAAAAATTACGTTCGCAAAAACAAACATCGAGCGGAAGTGCACTTTCAATTTGCCATTTAACATTTCTCTCAATTTGGCTAAATAAAAACAGTTTATCACAGTCACCCGCATGGGTGGGAAATGCTTATAGGAATGGCTATCGTGCTAGCACAGCTCGTTAATATAAAAAAAACTTCCTTTTAAGACTTTTTTTTTTTTTCTGTAACGCTACCCTTAATCCCTAAATTGTGTCACTCCGTCCGTCCGTCCATGCCTTATCCGCTAAATTTAGCGGGGACACTGAATTTGCGTCTAGGTCACGTGATGTCAACTGATCAACGTTACTAAAACACTCAGTTGGGAAACTCACCGTCGCCGCTGGCGTCCACCAAGACCGAGCTAAATGCGACAACAGCGCCCCTCTTTACCATTTGTCTGTACTGTGGTCACCTTGAGCTTTTTGAAAGCCTGTTTTTGCGTAAAAACAAACGAAAAAGACTCTTTTTGTATGAAATTTATTGGAGTTTAGTACAACAAGAGGGGCGCGTTATGTTTTTAAAATCTTTAGCTTGCAGGGTTTTGCGCCACAATTAATATTGTTTTTATACAACCATGCCTCAGCGGGCCTTTCAGGTAGCGCGGGACGCGCTACCTGAAAGGCCCTAGGTGCATTTTAACTTCGGTAGTTGAACGCGGCGCGTCCGCCGGGGCGACGGGGGTGGTACCCCTGTAACCTCTACCGCTGTATCTGTTCTTAAAGCCAAAATAAAAGTCACGTGCAGTTCCTCGAGCGGCCGCTGCGGGAGAAATGGTGGCGTTGTGTTCGTCATTAGCTCGGTGCTCGGAGACAGATTGGGGCCACTTTTTCAAAGCTGTCTCTATGGGAGTTTCCCAACTGAGTGTTTTAGTAACGTTGCAATTGATGTTACGAGACCCGACGTCACGTGGCCTAGATACCAATTAGGATTCTTCGCTGAAGTTAAACAAAAATATTAATGTCACTTAACCTGACGTCACGTGACCTATTCTTTCATTCGCAATTTCCGCTAAATTCATAAGAAAACTTCATGACACGTTACTTGAAGTGAGGATCTATTCGCGGCTTTAGCGAACTATAGGGGCGCGCTGGTCAGGCGAAATGGCGTCGAAAGGAGGTCGTTTTTGTCGTTCAGCACGCGGACATCCATAAATTTTTTGCACTGCAGCGTAAAATCGGTGTTTCATATGAAAGCAAGCGATTTTCCGATGGTAAAAACCTCTCTGGTTTGGCTCCTAACGCCAGTAAGATAATAAATGTGGACATTCAACACCCTGCAGCTCCTGTCGTCGCGTCTCACCGGTCCCACGAGCCCGTCACTCCAATGTATCGCGACCCTGCACCATCCGCGACTGCATCCAACAATATTGGAGCGCTGGGCAAAGACGGGCAGGACCTTCTTTGACTCGTCACAAGCACCTTGCGACCTTCTCGACCGCACGTGGTTTTCACGAAAGAAGGTACATCGGCCTTTGTCAGATACAATATATATATATATATATATATATATATATATATATATATATATATATATATATATATATATATATATATATATATATTTACAATTACAGTTTAACATGTTTGACCTGCTCTTTCGCTCCAATTAGTGTCTTTGTACATCACAAGTCTCTTTCGCAAACGTCCCTTCGTCTTTCTCCGTCCCCATTTTCTTGCAACTTGAGCTCACTTTCCATTCGCATATACAAGGTTCTTGTGGTTTTTCTGTCTTTTTTTTTTTTTACTTAACAGAAGATTTGTTTAAAAAAAGCCGTGAAAGTTACACTTATGCAGTTTGTGCTGGTGAGTTATACGGCCAGGAGGACAGAGTATAGGGGGCTAATCCTAACGATCAGTCGGCTAATGAATTAAAATTTGTTAATTAACTTTTAATAATGAAAATGGACATGTGGTTCTAATTAGAAACTTGCTCAGCG